CAATGTCTGAATTTTTTTTTTTTTTTTTTTTTTGAGGAAAATTGAAGTAAGAGACAACATTCAGACATTGCAACAGTTCTTGGAGTCTGTCGGATGCGACGCCCAAGTTGTTCTCTTTGAGCTTTCCCTCAAGATTTTAAAACGTGTATGCTAAGGAGAGGTTCTCACACCCTTATAAAGAATAGTTCCTCTCCAACCGACGTGGGATCTCACAATCCACCCCCTTCGGGACCAGAGTTCTTGCTAGAACTCGTTCCCCTCTCCACTTGGTGTCTGGCTGATACCATTAATAATGTCCCAAGCTCACCGCTAGCTAATATTGTCCTCTTTAGGCTTTTCTTTCCGGATTTCCCCTCAAAATTTTAAAATACGTTTGCTAGGTGGTGGTTTTCAGACCCTTATATTGTATCTGTGTCATGTTCTGTGGTAGAAATGGAGAGAGTTAACATGATTTATTTGCTGATTCAATGCTTTAGCTGATCATCGGTGGGGTTTGGTTTGATGTTGCATTAATTAGGCGATCAATGTGCTATTTCATCCTCGATGAATCATAAAGTTTCTCAGTGTGCTCAGGTTTAAATCTTGTTTACGATAGTCTTCAAGTCAATCACACACACTCCTGCTTAACTCTTTCTGTGGACTGACCATCTCTTTTCGGGTTTGTAGGTATCGTGCAATAACCAGTGCTTACTATCGAGGCGCTGTAGGTGCACTGCTTGTCTACGATGTCACACGACATTCCACTTTTGAAAACGTCGAGAGGTGGTTAAGGGAGTTGCGAGACCATACAGATCCTAACATTGTCGTCATGCTTGTTGGTAACAAGTCGGACCTTCGACACCTGGTGGCAGTATCAACAGAGGATGGGAAATCTTTTGCCGAGAAGGAGTCTCTCTATTTCATGGAAACTTCTGCACTGGAAGCAACCAATGTCGAAAACTCATTCGCCGAAGTCCTTACACAAATCTATCACATTGTAAGCAAGAAGTCCATGGAGGCTGGCGATGGCGCTGCTGCTGCTGCTGCCACAGTTCCTTCAAAAGGAGATAAAATCGACGTCGGTAAGGACGTCTCCGCTGTAAAGAAGGCTGGCTGCTGTTCGAGTTAGGCTTTTGATTTGCATTCTTTTCGATGCGGCTGATTTGATATTGCTGCATCCTTATGTGCACCATAGTTGAGTAACCATTCTTCAGAGATGTCTTGAATAGGATATTGATATTGCCTGGATTTTATTTACTTTCCAATATATTATGGTCTGAAAATTTAAGTTTGAGCTCACAGAGAGAGCTATTGATTTCATTTAGGTGTTTGTTGATTCTTAGTTGATTTAAAAATGAAAAAAAAGTTTGTTATTAAAATCAACAAATTAATAATTGTATTAATTCAAACTATAACATAAAATTTAAGGGTAGAAAAAACATTTTTATCAACCTAATAAAATAATAATATTATGGAAGAATTTACATTATTATAATATAAGGAATGACGTTATTATAATATTAATTTCTGGTGTGTAATTTATTAAGTATATTACGTATTGGGGTAAAAAACCCTTTGTTTATAGGTTACGTAGAGACGAAAACAAAAGGTCAAAAAAGAAAATAAAAAATTAATGGAGAGATTTGAATAAATAAAATATATTATCTTTTCAAATATCTTTTGTTTATTACATAATTGAATAAAATTTTATTTATTTGTGTAATCCCTAAGCATGTAGAGGTATTTATTTATGGAGCTCTAATCCGGTGGGGCTGATCTTATTTTAATGTAACGATTTAAGATTAAAATTGTTAATGTTCACAACCATATTTTGAAAAATTTTAATCCGTGATTAATTAAAATGTTCCACACAAATCAAAATCGTGATTAAAATGGTAATTTTAAGTTGGGATGAAATGAAACGAAACATGAATTTGCTTTTGTTATATAACCAAGTTTTAGAAAAAAAAAATAATTATTATAATTTAAAAAGAAAAGAAGAGAAGAAAGAAACTTTCCCGGCATTAATGGCGGACGATGCTCCTAGAAGTATACAAACAAAGAGAAGGCCGCGCCGCACATATCAAGTGGTGGCTCCGCACCAAGGAGTGATCCGCCGCTGGCTTGTAGCCGGTTGTTCATCGACCGGTAATCCCGGGCCTCCGCCGTGTCGGAACACGACAGAGCACTCCGGCAACTCCCCGAGATCCGCAAAGAGAGAGTCGTCCACGTCATCATCCCCCATCGGAAAAGGCATTGCCACGTCACTGGAAATCGAATCTCCCACTCCGCTCGATGATCTCCCCGAGAAAATGGAGCTTTCGAGCACTGTGGACGACGTGGTTTCCATTTCCCCAAACCAGCTGAACTGGTCCTCTAACGACTCCACAAATTTCTCTTCCGCCTCCGGTTCCGGTTCTGGATGAACCGGAACAGTCTCTGGCGAAGTGGGTTTCACGGCGGCGGCTTGGTGGTGATTGTTGTTTCTGGAAACCGGACCGGAATGGTTGTGCTCGCAGGAATAAGTAATGAGCAACATGGTGGGATCAAGCCGGTTCCTCTCTACTTGCTTCCTCGCCGGACATCCCTTGGAGCTACTACACCTATAATACGCCCTACAAAATTAAACCCAAATCCAATCAAAACCCATCAATTTCCTCCAAATCAAGCTTTAATAAAATAGATCACCTGGGATAAGGGGAGCCCTTGATGGGCTTTTGGCCGTACTTTCTCCAGGCCCAAGAATCAGAAGGTGGAGTCGTAGAACCAGAGGAATTCCTTGGGCCGTCGCCATTAATCCGCACCGACACCACTTTCTTCTTCATCCCTCTTCTACACACCATCAAATTTTTAAAAAAAATAAATACACAAAAAATAAAATCAATCTGAATTCACCAACTGACCTGCCCTTCTTGGCGGCGGCGGTGGAATTAGGAGGCAGAGGAGGAGGAGGAGGAGGAGGAGGAGAATCAGGGGCTGCCTTGAATTCGTCGCTATCTTCTAAGAGATCAACAGAATAGAATTGGTGGTTATTGTTGAAGGTAACATCGTCCATATTACTATATATGGCCGGCCGTCGTAGATGGGTGGCTGTTTTTTAAGGTTGTTGGAAAAGTTTGTATCAGAGGGTTCTGAAGAAGAGGAGGAAGAAGAATAAAGGGGCAATTTAATGTGGGATTTGTTTAAAAAATTATATTTTTGGAGGTTTAAATTTAAATATTAAAAAAATGAGGTAAAGAGTTGACAAAAATATTAATTGGGGGACGTGCGGCTACTACTCTCTTTAATAAGCATCTAATCTCTCACAATTTGGCCATATTAAAATCCATAATTTGTCTCTGTTGATTGTGACATGGTGAAGAAATTTGTGTATTTTTTTTATTTCCAATTTTTATTTTTCATGTGGGATACCATAAATAAATAAAAAATCATCAATTAAAATCGAGATTTATGTTTAATATTTTTTTTACCCTAAGTACATAAATGAAATATAAGCAAATTAACAAAAGGGATGTAACAATGTTTTGAATAATAATAAACCTTGGAAGAAAGTTAATATTAGAAGTAAACTATTAATAAATTAAAATAAGTATGAAAGATAGTAATATTAAAGAAAAAAAAAATGGAGACTTTCAGGGCACATTCAATTTAATTAACTATCCTAGACAAGACCAAGCCCAAGTTAGGTATTTAAATAAACAGTTAAATATATGTGGATTATAGTTGATAATTAATTACAATTATCTTAATTAATCAGTTGGATGGATCACATGGTCTTGGCTACAATCAAGAATCTTTAAACTTTAAAAAATAACAAATAATGAGACATAAAATTTAAAAATTAAAAATTTAAAATTAAATTTCAATGATGTAGTATAAATTTTTTAAAATTTTATGATGTTTTATATCTAAAATTTGATAAACGTTAGCGTAACTACATTTAAGATGATGTAAAAGAAAAAGAAAAAAAGTCAAACTATTATGTCTCTTTGTCAGTGTTTAACATTTCAAATATTTAAATCTCAATTTCCACATATTTGTAAACTTAAAAAAGAAAGCTCTCTTGGTTACATTTGAATTAATATTATATTTATGTTTTGCTATAATGTATCTAATTCAAAATGTATCTTACGTGGATCAATAAATAGGCCCTATTCATTGAATAAGTCGATACAAAAAGAAAAATAATTTGTAGCATATCATTTTTCAGGAAAAGTGCAATCATAATTGAGAGCAAGATCATGCATTTATAAGTAAAAAAACATCATTTCTATTGGTACGAGTCATTTTAGAGAAATCAAAAGAAAAATCAATAGAGTTTATATTCAAAATGACAATATTATATCATGGTGAGTTCCACGTGTTCCTACCAATCTCATCCACCGTAGGTACTAACTCATCTTACCCTAAGATCTGAACGTAAAAAAATAATAATAATAATAATAATAAAAAATACAGGGGATGGCTGATTAGGTTGCATAATCTTGAGGTTAGAAAAGGAATAATATTATGATAATTAAAGTTTACAAGCCCATACTATATATATATATATACATATATAGATAGATCTCCTTTTGACAGAAAACCATTTAATGAAGGTACCATGGCCAACGGCGTCGACGCCGCAGCCGGCGGAGGGGGAGAAGGTGGGTGTGATCTGTTTGGATGGTCAAAGGAGATTTTTCCTGCAATTCTGCTGCGACAGTTTGGCTTCCTAAGCAACAAGGTATGTGGGGTTTTCTTTTTTTCCTTTGGTCAAAATTGACTTTTCAAAAAAGGATAAAAAATAATAAAAAAAAAAAGAGTAAAATTAAAGTGTAGAAGATTAGTTGTGTTTTTAAGGATGAGTTTGATACCATTCTAAAACCGTATAAATCCCACTTGATGGTCCACACCATATGATCTGTGTTTCCAATTGTTATGTTTTGTAGAACAATACAACACTCTTGAGTTTTATTACAATGGTGGTGAACTGCAACTAAAAGGGATTATTCCCTGTGGAATGTCTACTGTGTGTCACGGTTATATTTGTCAAAGTATATTGTCTGTGGCTACATGTCAGATGTCTCTTATGTCTATGACCACATGTTTGTTCCAAATCCCTTTTGCTTATTTTTATGTTAGATAAGTCTTTACTATTATTGTTGTGTCAATACAGACTGTATGCCCTGTTATTAGAATATACTCGTCACAACTAAAATGCCTCAAAATGTACTATAGGGGATGTGACTAGTTGTCAATTATTCCTGCTCGGGTTATATACTATCAAAGTCGTTTTTCTTACTTACTCCCTCTTAGCTTATAACATTATTTTCAACGTATCCTTGCTCATGTTTTCTAAAACATTTCTCTCAAACGTGACCTGAGGCTTGAGCAAAAATCGATATTGCCCGTGAGATCCAAATTGCATATGACTAATTTGGTTGTTGGGTTAGAACATGTCGCATCATCGAGATACTTTCCATTCTCAATTTATTTTCGCATGTATTAGGTTTTCCACAAAGAATTTTTTCCTATTTTTATATATACTTTAAAAAATAATAATAGTTTGAAAGAATTTTTTAAATAGCATTAGAGAATTTAAAACATTTTAATAAATCTAATAATATTTTGTAAATACAATATTAACTTAAGTTTTCAATATTATAATATAATCTTTCTCACTTAAAAAATTTATTTATTTATTTATTTATTTACCAAGTAAGAAAATAAATAATTATAAAATGAGGTGAGACTGGAATTTGGGTGGGATCGGGTGCGGAGACAATGAAGGAAAATAGGAGTACTTCCTCCCTCCTCTTTCATTCAAGTTAGATTTTTTTCCGTAGGTTAAATAGACATTTTTATCTTCAATTTGAGTAATAAGGAATACCACCTTTACTTCCAGATCTCCATCTTAACAGGAAAAAAAACCCATGTCCTGGTTTGGGAATAAGATCCATGGGAATCTCATCCCCCAAGCAGCAGCATTATACTTGTATATTTGCCTTGAGAGGGGGAGTATTGTACTGGGAATATGCTGGTCTCTCTGCTATAAAACATTGGCAACGCCGAGCTTCTTCATTTAACAAAGTGCATGCAGATGAAGATGAATATGCCGGCAGTGCATTGGATGGATTGCCGGGCAACTACTCCATTGCCAGTCGCCCATTCAGCCTCTCTTTTCATTACCTTACTGCCAAAGGAGATTTGCCCGGCGATGATCCCATGCAACCAAACTAAACCCTAAAGCCCTCTCGCTTGCCTGTGAACATGAATGGAAAGGGTTAGTGTTCTTTCTATTTTTTTGTTTTTTTTCTTTATTATGATCTCATAATTCACTGTTCTTGGAAGGGTTGGTGTTCTTTATGATATATATATATATATAATCAAATTTCATTAACCCTTGCTTTTTCCTTATTAAGCACGTAATCAATGACGTAATTTTAATAAAACATTACCTTAATTACCTTTTTTTTCATTATCATTTTTTAAAGTACGACAAACTTAAAACAGGAATTTGTTTATTTAATAAATACACACCTAATTAACCAAAGTCAAGCCTTTGGGTTTATTTGACACACGTGCTTATTTCTGTGTTTTTTTTTCTTTATTTTTTTTTTACCATTTTTGTTAGAAACATAGTTTTATTACTCATTAAATGCTTTTAGTTTCTTTTTATAAATTAAGTTACCAGCTTTAAAATTTTATAATTCACTCCTTTATATTTAATAATTTCTTACATATGATTAAAAATTTTAAATTTTAATTGAATTAATAGATATAATATTCTAAACTTTCAATTTTATATTTATTGCAACTCTATAATCCGGCTGCCCATATGATTCAACGGTAGGACACGTCAGACTCCTCGGAATCTCCGAGTTTATTCTGAAACGCGTGTCCGAATATTCCTTTTTGAAAGCGCGGAACTACTGCAATGCCCCTTCCGCTTGGATTTGGTAATTTGGTTGCCTTCATGGATTGACGTTATCTGGTCAAACAGCCTAGTTGACCTCTATTATTTAATTTTCAATTATTATTTAACCTCAACAATCAGCCATTGGTTTGTTTTAAAAATTACAGGTTCATGCAATTCCAACACGCTTTTTTGTCTTTGTTTTCAAATTCTCCCCCCCAGTTCACATCCAAATAAATCCCACGTTATTGTTATTGTTACAAAAATTTTAATTTTATTTTATTTAACAGTCACAATAATTTGACTATTGACTTCTATAAAAACAGGGTGAGAAATTTAAGGAAATTATATAAAAATACATGCGGTAAAATTTTGAGTAACAATTGAGACAAAATAACTAATTAGCTTAGTTTGATGGCTTAAAAAGAATTGTTATTATTATTATTATTATTATTAATTGTTGTTGTTGGGTTATGTTAGAGTAAAAAGAAAGGTTTTTTATAGGAGAAATTTAGTTACTGCATCCAATCAGTGATTCAATCATTCATTATGATTGCCATGATATGCATGGTTTAATTTTATACCCACCACACACACACAATCATTCTTTTTTATGGTGGGTGTTGGCCTTTGCCTTTTAAGTTATTTTTAAGCAATATTCCATCTCTTTCATAATTTATATATACATATTATTAATCCATTTTCTTAAACAAAATAATTTATATCTTCTTCGGCACACCTCCCGATGTTTTTGCTCTATTATTATTTGTAACAGTTTAAGCTCACCACTAGTAGATATTGTCCACTTTTGCCTGTTACGTATCACTATCAGCCTCACAATTTTAAAATGCATTTACTAGATAAAGGTTTCCACACAATTATAAGGAGTGTTTCATTCCCCTCCCCAATTGATATGGGATCCCACAAATTACTTTTTTTTTTTTTTTTTTTTTTTTTTTTTTTTTTTTTTTTTTTTTTTTTTTTTTTTTTTTTTTTTTTTTTTTTTTTTTTTTTTTTTTTTTTTTTTTTTTTTTTTTTTTTTTTTTTTTTTTTTTTTTTTTTTTTTTTTTTTTTTTTTTTTTTTTTTTGGTTGAGACTTGTGTATAGGTCGAACCAAGTTAGAGTTACTAACTTCTTTGAATGCAAGAATAAGTGCTGGTAATATCTCAAAAAATGCTATTATGACACCCTGCATGTAAATTTTTTTTATCTTTAGTAAGAAAAGATTTAAATTCTACCCCTAAAAATAAAACACTTTTTTATATAAAAGACAAAACTACACCTCAAACAAGCAAATATCATTTTTAATTCGTAAATTATTGAACAATTCAAGGGCAATTTTGTAACAATTCAATGTTTTGGACTCATTACACGCATATATAAAATGAACATTAGTTTGTGAAAACCAACCACAAAACACAAACAGAACAGAGATATCTGTTTTGCGCCGCCATTGATGGACGTTGAGCAAGTTCTCAATCTCTTCGATTCATTCTGGTTCGAGCGTGAAATCTTCAACAAACACCCCTTTCCAACAAACCCCCAAAACCCACGACCCGAAAATCAAGATCGCGATCCATTAAAAAACTCGCCGCCAGAGGAACCTTTCGTCCCTCGGATTTGCCCGAGGTCCATAAGCGAAGATTTAAGCTCCAAATTAACCTTTATGTCAGATTCCAGTTCACCCGATTCAGTTCTCTTCTCTCCAAAGCTTCAAACGATTCTTTCGAGCAAAGACATCGCCGGGGAAGAGCCGCCGGAGAAGAGCCGGAGAGTAGTAATTAGGCAGAAAAGAAAACAGAGGAGGAGAATTGGAGGGAGAAGCATAAGGGGGTCGGAAAGTAGAAGCCTTTCGGAGCTGGAATTTGAGGAGCTAAAAGGGTTTATGGATTTGGGATTCGTGTTCTCGGAAGGGGATAAAAGCTCGAGCTTGGCGTGGATAGTTCCGGGATTGAACAGGCTGGGGAAAAGGGATGAAGAAGAAGAAGAAGAAGAAGAAGAAGAAGAAGAGTTGGGAGGGGGAATTTCAAGGCCTTATCTTTCGGAAGCTTGGGCGGCGATGGAGCAAGAGGAGGAAGTGAAGAAGGCATTGGTGATGAAATGGAGGCTTCCTGCAAATGAGATTGATATGAAAGATAATCTCAAATGGTGGGCTCATGCTGTTGCTTCTACTGTTAGATGACACTGCTCTCATTCATAGTTCTTCTCTTCTTTCTTATTTTTCTTTTTGGGTTTTCTTAAAGTTTTGTTCTAATCTCTAAGTTTTGGATTCCAAGCCAATTTGTATATATTTGTTGGAAATTATTACTCCTTTTTCTTATTTTTTTTTATTTTTTTGATTTTTTTTACTCAAAATATTAAAATTTATAAACTCTAATAAAACCGTTAAATCTCACATTGATCATAGGGAGGAACGACTCGGTATGAAACGTACCCATAACAAAGAAAGCTTGAAAAATAGGATGGAAACCAAAAAATTCCAAAAAATGCAATACAACAACATGGATTTCAAATTTTCATTTTTGTGGGTTAATTTTAAAATTTTAGGATAATATGGATTATATTAAAATATATTATAAGAATTTAACTTTTTTAAAGATTGGAGAAGGAAAAAAAAAAAAAAAAAAAAAAAAAAAAAAAAAAACTAAACTAGGAGCACTATAACCACGAAAAATATATAAAGAAAGTCAGAAACAATGAGCGAACAAACAAAAGGATCTGGGTAGTAGCACTAAGAAATCACACGTCCCCAACCAANCCTTAGAAGGCATATAATTTGACATGCACATAAAATATTATATAAAATATCTATTTAATCTCTAAAAAAATTAAAAATTATGAGAAGCTTTCAAAAATTTTAAAATTTATAAATTTAGTATATGCAAACCAAAACCATCGGTTGTATTAGACATAAAATTTAAATTTATTATAAATAAATGGTAATTTTACAAATTAAATTTAATCTTATAAATTTAAATTTGTAAAGAAACAATTAAATAAAAAATTAAAAGTTTATTAATTTATTAAACATTTTAAAAAATTAGCAAATTAAAATCTTATTGTAATTTTAGTACAGATTTTTTTTTTGAATTTTTTTTATTTTATTTCATTTTTTTTTAATTTATGGACATTTATTTAAGAATAGTAATAGGCATCTTTGCACTAAATTATGCTAACTAATATAAGAATTTTGGACCAAAGCAAGTTTTGAGAAAATTAAGGAATAATTTGAGAAAGTCAAAGAATGGGGATAAGTTTGCCACATCAGATAGGTAGTTGAATAATTTGATCTAAGCTAAGACTTCCTTTCATGGAGGATAAATTTTAAACAAATGAAATTTCCTTCTAAAAATAATAGAAATAATGCAAGGGTGTGACACGATCAACTTAGGTTATTTTATTTTCTTATTTTTCTATAATATTACGTAATTTGTTTTGGTGACCATTAAACTAAAAACCATCTCCTTCATTGTCTTTCTACGTAAATATTGTTTTATTAGTAAATAAAATATGTGTTAGTAGCTTTAAATAATCTCCATAAAAATAATCCAACTTGTATATCTTATGAAAAAAAATATGATGAATAATTGTTCCAAGTGATGGTTATTATATGTCTAATATTGTTTTGTTATATTTAAAATTGAGGTCATAAACTTTTTTTTTTTTTTTAACAATAATAATAAAATAAAAAAGACCTCATTTTTCTTCTTTCTTTTTTAATTTAGTTAACATTATTTAATCATTTAGTCACGATATATGTCTTAATCAAGGATTGAAATTATAATTTAATTAAATAAAAAATAAAAAAGGAAATAAAAACAAAAACATGTATACTGACTTTGAACATCTCACTTCCCAGCTCAAAAGTTGGGAAATTTCAAATTAAATATGGATTCTTGAGCATAAAGTTTAGGCCTTTTCATTTTTTTTTTTAATTTTTTAATTTTAATTTAGAAAAAAAAGGTTGGTGATGGTTTATTACTTTTATTTTTACGATAAAATTAATAATTAGTTTGTGATTGATTAACTTCAACTCCCACAAAAGCACGCTCTGCTTCGCGTTCTGAGGAAAGTGGGGCCCACGTTCCAAATAATTATTGTCGTTTTGCATGTTTTATTTCGACCGTTCGAACGACTTTCCGTTTATTTTGACGGTGTTACGAACGGTCGGTCAAAAAGTCCATGGTTTCTCACGGCACACAATAACATATACTCACGAGTTTACTATATTACCCTCAAAAGAATTAAGTTATTATCTCAGTAAACAGAATGGCAGTTTAGTCATTTAACTTCATCCATCTGGAACTTGGTTATTAATAATCGTTTTGAAGCTTCATTGGAATTTTGGGCGTCTGAATACAATGGAAGACCAGCAGGTTCTACAGAATTTGGATTCTCTCTGGTTCTTCGCCACTGTATTCTCAAACAAAATGCCGCCGGCGCCACCGTCACCTCCGACGCCGGTCGTCCAAAAACCCACTGAAAACGACTTCGTTGAGCTTCCCGGAGGAGAAATTGCGACACCCATTTTTCAAAATCAGCAAAATGTTGGGGATGAGAGGAATATTGTAGACGAGAAGACGAATGAAACCGGTGGCGGGTTCGGGTCAATCATAACAGAGGAGAGGAGAAAAAGCAGAGGAAGAAGATGGGGGTGTTTGAGGCAGAGGAGAGAGATTGTCGGAGAGATGGATCTGAGTGATGCTGTGAAGGAAATTTGTGAATGTTGGTTGCTTGAACAGAGAATTGGCGGCGGGAATCAGTACCAGAGAGGGAGGAGGAAGATGAAGAAGAAGAAGATTCCTCCGTTTGAAGATAGTATGGCCATGAAAGAGCACATCAGATCCTGGGCTTATGCAGTGGCCTGTACTGTTAGATGATCCCATTTTGTCGTCCCATGTTTCTACCCAAATTTTGTAATGAAATTTGTATTTTGTTTAATTAAGTATCGTAGGAATAAAAATAATAAATCTTAAAATCAATTTCTTCTTAATTTTTAACGTTGGGAGACAACAAGGATTTATTTGAAAAAAAATAATTATTTAAGAACTAATTATATATTGTATTAGTATAATATTATTTTAAAAAAAGTTTTGAAAATTAATAATTTTTATATGCTTAAAAAACATAAATTTGAGTAAGTTTGGGCCGAATCTGAAGCAGCCCAGAATCGGCCCAGAAGAACCAAGTTCACGATCATCGGCGACTTGTTGGCCATCTGTAGCAGCGGACCAATTCGTGAAGGCGAAGAGAGGCAACGATGACGGAGGCGCCTCCGAGACGACTAAGAGGCCACAAAGGCACTGCCACGTGCTGCATCGCCTCGAATGACCGTCCTGGTCTCGTTGCTACTTCAGGCGAGGTAGAGTAAGACTTACTTATGGCCTTTGCGTCCTCTTTCCTTGTTTCTACTGTATTGAATTTCAGTAGGTTGCATAAGCTTCCTTGGTTCTGTGGTGATATCTTATTTTTCTGGAGTGTATAGGATGGTTGTGTTTGCTGGTTTGACATGAGATGCAAAGATGTGGTATCCATTATGGAAGTAGGAAAAGAACCTATTACATCCATATGTTTCAAGCAAGGTCCATTATTCTCCCACTTATTCCTTTGTTTAAGTCTCAATGATCTGTAAGCCATAGCCACCGGCTTAAAATGTTTAGTGGTTTCTCAAGATTGAAATGATGACATTCTATCCAACATAACTTCGAAATATTTTGTTTTTTATATAGTTTTTCGCTGATCCATTCTACCCTTCTTATCAGGGAATGAAGATGTTATCTACATCTCCTCTGGGAAGGAAATTAAGTCATTTGATGTCCATCAGGTAAGGAAGTTTCATAATGTTAAAAACTTACTAAAAATATATTTGTATTTTAAAGGAAAGAACAACTCCTCCCTAAGTTTGCATATTACTTGCTGTCCATTTTGGCCACGTTTTTGTGTCTTTCGTATATGAAAATATATATCACTTCGATGCTGTCCCTTGCACTTTTAATTTATCAATGATTACTATACTGTCGACTAATTTTTTCCTTTACTTTTGGAGGCCACATCATCGAAACCATTGGAGAGTTATAGTTACAACAAAGAGGAGATAAATCAGGTAGAGGCGATCAGTAAGTTGTTTATGTTTGCATGTTTAATGATGGAAATAAGTTCTTCCTTTGTCAAGTTCTGTACTTTAAGGAGCGGAGACTTATTTCACAATTCAATATTCTTTCTCAATTAAAAAAAAAATAAAAAAAGGATCCGAAGCCAAGAGTCAAAATTTCTTTCCATGCAGGTTTCTTGTAGCCCAAAATCTTCTTTTCTGGCTGCTGCCGATGATGGTGGTGATGTTAAGGTCAGCATCTTTAGCTTACTGTGATTTCTTTTCTTGGGATTTGAATTCAAATGAGCATGCTGGTATATTTTTGTTCCTGATTTTGGTTCAGTTCAAGTAAATGATGGAACAGGTCTATGAGCTCTGGTAGTGGTAATATGTAATGAAATTTCTTTTTATCGGAGTATAGCTTGTCATAAGAACCCGAAATTTCTGGCATCAGTTATCTACAGCATTTTTAAGCAGATGTTGCTTTCTTATGTCTGTTTGAGTGACAGTGAGCGTGTAAGTTTTGATCATATAATTTTTTTTTCTACAAAATCTGATCAACTCATTTGCAGCCAGTTCATTGAAGCTTTTCTTTGGCCGTTTTATCTTCCCTCGCATGATATTGAATGTTGATATATCATACATAGTAATAATTTTTCCATTTCTGACATAACGGATATAGTAAGTTACAAATTGGTTTGTCCCATCTCATTCTTGTGTTCAAGCATGCACGAATTAACTCCTTTTAGTAATAAAAATGCAGAAGTAATGGTTTTACAATGTTGCTATTCCAAATTGTTAGATTAGATACTGATCATACTCTTCATGGCAGATCATTGATATTCACCAGAATTGCTTATACAAAACATTAAGATCTGGCCATACAAGTGTATCCTTTCTTGTATCTTGAAGCTTTTTTTTCTTTAACAAATCAGGGTTCTGTAATCCATTCTAGTCCCATGTGCTTTACAGTTCTTTAATTTTGTTCTATGGATCTCATCCTTGCATCCTAAACCATATATTTAGATCTGTAGCAGTGTTCAGTTCCTTCCTTGGAGACCTTGGGAAGGTAAACTCGACATTCTAACCTTCACCTCCAATTTTTTCAGACCATCAGTGATCCAATCTGCATTGTTTAGAAGTAGCTAAACATATTGAATTATGAGTTATTAATACCCTTAATCTTTGTTTTGGATTTGGAGAAGTTAAAAGTAGAGAGCTTATTTATCACGAGGCTTCATCTCATTGCAATTGAAAGAAAAAAACATAAAAAAAGAAATTGTCCAAGTTTCAAGATTTCTGTATAATACTTATGCTTGAGTCTAGATCTTCACTGAGATATACTATTCTTGTTGGATAGTTGGAAAAAAAAAAAAAATCTTAATATAGTTAATCTGGATTTGGAGTGATTGTTTGAGGTCAAGAGAAGATTTCTTATTCTTTCACATGAAAGATGTGTTTCAATTTCCATGTATTACAATTTGTCCATCAACTTGAAGTTGGCTGTAGGATCCTAGATCCTGAGGTTTCAGAGTTTTCTAGGAATATGATAGACAAATGCTTAACAGAGTGAACCAGTTCTACAATTACAAGTTACCATTGGCCAGAAAGTTAGGATTTATCATCTATGTTGTTTCCCATGCAAATGTATTTACAGTCCCTGGATGACCTCTAGACATTATTGAAGAGGTTACCAGTTGGAGAGAATGAAACTCAAGTTCTATATATTGAGGATTTATAGACGTTCTTGCGTTGACTATCACTCTTAGAATTTGCTCAACGATGAGAATTATAAATGTCAGGGGATAACGTGTCACAAGTTTGAATTATTTTTTCCTGCGACTTTGGAGTCACCTACAACATTGGTTTCGTTGCTAGTTGTTATTCTTGATACTGTATCGTCATTGTTTATGTTTCAAGTTGTCCCATGTTTAAATAATTGAACGCCTCACCATTCGTATCTGACTGCTTTTTTACAATTCCGGCATTATACAGTTATTACGGGAGGTCTTGATTCAAAGCTCATTATGTGGGACTTTTCCAGAGGACGTCCCATCAAAGTTCTTGATTTTGGTTCGTACTTATGCAGCCCATCTGTTTATGTGATTATTATTCAATGCTTTTCATTTTGTTTGCACTTGTGTGCCCGTTTTTCTTTTCGAGCATAGTTCATCTAATTTGTTTACCTTCCTATCTTAAACAGTAACTTATCCAAAATAACCACTCCAAGACAGTTGTACGAACATTCTTTGCTAATTTTCTTGCAGAAGTGTAGAGAGTTGGGGACCTCATTTGCCTATTATTATATTCCTCAGAACTTGATTTTCATTTTCCTGTAGAGTGAATCATGCAAGTGTTTAGAATTCTAGCCTGAAAGCTTATTTCGCATGTGGAAGTGGAATTGGTTTATGGATAAATACAATATACTAGTTGTAGTTTTAATCCTGGAAGGTATTTGTATCTTGCCTGTACAAGTTTTCTTTGATCCTGCCGTGAAGTTAGGAGCAGAAGTTGGGCATAGGGCCCCTTGGGTTTTATGTAAATTCATAACAATGTCTACAAGAACTCAAACTTGGGTCGTAAGGAATACGCCAATTTCTGTTCAGTTAATGTAAAATACACACTCATATAAGACTTCACTGTTATTAAAATTTGCGTTGTTTTTTCTTTTTCATCCTTCAACAGACTTCCCTGACAACAACCCTTCCAGTAACACAGGACAATGTTTTAATCCTGCATTTATTCATGCAATAGTAGTTCCTGAAGTTAATATGGTGGACAGATTGGGCCAGATATGTGTGGTTGCAAGGGGTGATGGTGTTGTTCATGTGATTGATATTGAATCCGAGAAATCAAAGATTTCCACAAAAACTAGTAAAAGAACACAAACTAGATCTAAGGGAGTTACAGCAGCTTGCGATGTGGATAACCAAGAGCAAAGTGGAAGAAAGAGGTTATATTTGGATTACACTGTTGGTGGACATTCTGCAGCTGTGTCCTGTGTGTAAGTAATTTCTTTCTCCTCCTCTGCAACATGACGGATCTCCCTTACCAAGTGGAAAATTTCAGGGCATTTTCTCGATTTGGGGAGAAAGGGAAGTTCATAGTTTCTGGTGGGAATGATAAATGCGTAAAGCTATGGAATTGGTCTGGAGTTCCTGATGCTGGGGAAGCTGGCAGCAGCAACAACAACAAAATTCTTCATTTGAACATCGATCTGAACAAAAAGGTTGTGATTTATTGATAGTTGCATGTCACCATCGATATCATTATTCATTACTTGTGCTTTTATGAATTAGTTTCTAAGTTTGGAATTTAACCTTCTGCAGGTGAATTGGCTATGTACTACTCCATCTGACACAGAAAACCTTGTGGTCTGTGATACCAGCAAGGTAGTGAAGGTATATAATGTTGCATAAGCCGACGGTGGTGCCTTCCCACAGAATCAGAGGTTAGAAAGAAACCCGAGGAATTATGAACCTGCTGCTGTTCTTATATTTAAAGCATCTGATTTTAGATCCTTTACAGTCACAATTTTGAGACCAAGAGTAAGCATTTGCTGAGAATTACCATGCTTCTACTCAACACTAAATTACACAACTTTGACACTAGATTTACTTGAAAAGGCTATTTGAAATATTCTTATTTTTATTTAAATATTTTTTGATTAAAAATCATGATAAAGCACCCGCAAAGCAACCTGGAACCTGCTCTGATCACTGCGCCATGGCTAATCACCCACTCGAGCCTGCTCCAACGCTCGGCCGCCCTCCATGCCGCATCGCTGCTCAGCGAAAAACATACCAGTAGGGGAGGCTGTCACTGTAAGGGAATCCTCTGACCGACACTGAACGAGAGGTCTACCGCCAACCGCCAGCGCCCAGCTCTGTA